CTGCATCATATCTTCTAATTCACTTTCTTTTTTCTTATTTTTCCTTTTATAAGAATTTCTTAAATTATACCTATAATCAACTTTTGTGAATTTCAATTGGGAAAAATACGGAAAAGGTATTTGTGGTTGGGCCCGTTTTCAGATAGGGTCATGTGTTTCATTTTTTATCAAAGTAGTTCATGTGTTTGAATTCCGTTATCACAAGAGGGTCACGCCGTTAAAAACGTCTGAAAAGACCGTTAAAAGTAACTTCGATTTTAAAAAGTGCCCTAAAAATAAAAAAAAATACCGAAATGTGCGTCTCGTCAAGATGACCTCCAAACCACCTTCGCCTTTGGATTTTTCAGATCTGTTTGAATTGCTTTTTAAAAATGATTTCGCTAATATCACTTTTCCGATAGACTTTCCAATGACAAGGACGGCTGAAAACAAAAAACAAATATGGCCTAGCGGTCGTCTTATTGATGTGCACCTTCCGGTATTTTTCTTTTAATATTTCGGGCACTTTTGAAAATCGGAGTTACTTTTAACGGTCTTTTTCAGACGTTTTTAACGGTGTGACCCTCTTGTGATAACGAAATTCAAACACATGAACCACTTTGATAAAGAATGAAACGCATGACTCTGTCTGAAAATAGGCTCAACCATAAGTACCTTTTCCGTACTTTTCCCATTTCTATATGTGACTCTAATGTAATATGATACTTTTGAAATACATATTGTTGTGACATTTTAAAATGAGCATAACATCAATACAAAATGAGCATATGTAACTTACAAAATGAGCATTCATATGAAAATCGTAAACTTAATTAGTTGAGCATCAAGATATTTTTATTGAGTATCAAACTTCCACTATTGAGTATTAGAAATATATATGCAATTGAGTATCATGATCTTTGCCTCTGTGTCTATAATCAATTCTTATGTGAATGTATGTAATACGATACTTTTCAAATATGCATTGACATGAAATTTCAAAATGAGACATAAAACCAACATAAGATGATGAGCATATGACATATGTAACTTACAAAATGAACATCAAAAAATTCAAAAACTCATTTGAATTTTGTTATGTGCTCAATTATTCATTGCGTGTGTTCATTTCTTTTAGTCGCTATACTCATTCGAATATATCATAAACTCCTTCTATAATACGTACATCTAGTAGATTCGTTATCAACAATTTAATAAACTATCATTATATATAACTATGACAAATATAATAATTTCATATTAAAAATAATTGGAAAAGGAAAAATTGAAAATAATAATCCCATCTATTGCCGGTCTGCTAACAATAATCCCAACTATTGATTATTTTTGTATAATCCTAACTATATGGACTGTCCGCCAATAATGGTCCATGACCGCATATTACGTGCTCTAACAAGAGTATTTTTAATAGAAATTAAGCGTAAAAATTAAAATTTGGGATTATTTATAGGGATTACCTGTTATATCTCTTTAGAAACTATATGAATTTATTTATAGTTGGTCACGTCGGACCATTATTGGCAGAAGGCCCCTAAAGTTGGGATTATTCTGAAATAATCGATAATTGGGATTATTATGAGCGAACCACCAATAGTTGAGATTATTACAATCAATTTTTCCAAAATAATTTATAGTCTTTCGTTCTTGAATTACAAATATAATGTTGTTCTTTTTACGATGTTTACTCATGCACATTTATTTTCCACTATACTCATTTTAGTATAACACAAAACTCATGTTAGTAATTAACACACAATATTTAATAAATTAATAAATATTCATCTTAATTTTTTTTATGATCATCAAAACTGAAAACTATATTAAATCAACAAATCGTTAGCCAAGTGGTTTACAATACAGTTAGGAATATCATCATAATTAATCCTGTGATTTGAGAGAACAACATGTGCCCTTGCTAAAGCATGAGTCGCACGATTCGCAGACCGTCTACAAAAAGAGACAAAAAAATTACCCTTTGTTTCAAGAATTTTCCTTATATCATCAAGGATAAGATGCAAATAAGAGGATCCCTCTCCTTTTTTAATTCCTTGCACAACTGATAAAGCATCTGATTCAATCTCCACCTGCTGCCAGCCCATCTCCATTGTTGCCGATAACGCATCATGTACCCCCATAGCTTCTGTTTCCGCCACCGTCCAGCCGGCCGATTGTGTAGCACCTCAGCCTCTAATAAAATCACCGTCCTCGTCTCTAGCTATCCATCCCCAAGCTCTTTTACTACCTTCCTGGTCCGGCTCCGGTTTCTTCCATTTATTTCCACGGTCTCCGGCCGAACCTATCCTCCCTTCCTCAATGACTTGGACTTCCTTCCAACTAGTCAACATTCTAGTAGCCGCATTTAAAACACTAGCAGTGTCCTGTACCTGCTGTTTCCAAACTGCTGTATTCCGCCGTTTCCAAATACTCCAAAGTATAGCCACGAACCTACCTCTTTCTTCCTCGTCCAAACTATCAAGCTGCTTCCTTATCCAGACTTCCATCTTGGCTAGTTCGAAGTCCATGTACTTCCTAGCTGCCCGCCACACTGCTTGGACTCTTGGACACGTCCTCATCGCATGATCTAGTGATTCGTCTGGCGCGTTACACAGCTTACACCTGCCCTGAATGTCCACGTCTTTCCTCCTCAAGTTATCAATCACCGGAAATGTTCCATCCAAAACCTGCCACACAAAAAATTTAAATTTTGATAGAACCTTAATATCTCACAAATTCTTCCATCCTTTCTATCCATCCGCTTGGAACTCGCCCATTAGTAACCGGTAGCTACTTTTAACAGAATACAACCCATTAGTTTCTCCCTTCCACCAATATCCATCCTTCCTGTCCTGTGCACTAATCGGAATACTAAGAATCAATTTTATGTCCTCTTCATTAAACAGAGAGTAGATCCTATCCACATTCCACTTCTTCCTTGTAATATCACGAAGTGCCGCTACATTCATGTCTCTCACACCCCTGGGGCGAATGGAAGAAATTTTGTCTGATCCCTGCCCTGGCAGCAATGCATCCGCCCATACCTGTACATCAATACCGTTCCCAACACGCCTTCGAGTATTATTTTTTAGCAGCTCCTGAGTCTCAAATATGCTTCTCCAGATAAAGGAAGAATTATTACCCAATTTTGCATTAAGAAAATTTGTATTAGGAAAGTACCTTGCCTTGAGAACTCGGCTCATGAGATAGCTCTCATCTATGATTAATCGCCAGCCCTGTTTGCCCAGCATAGCCAAATTAAATTCTCTCAGCCTTCTGAAGCCTAAGCCACCCACCTCTTTTGGCATACATAGCCTTTTCCAGCTTCTCCATCTCAGCCCTTTTTTATCTAACTTGGATCCCCTCCACCAGAACCCGTTCATTAATTTTTCTATATCATCACAAAGTTCTTTTGGTAATAAAAATATGTTCATAGCATAGCCTGGCATCGCCTGAACAACATTTTTCAATAACACCGCTCTGCCAACTCTAGATAAAAATCTATTATTTCAACTTTTAATTCTAGAGTGTATTCGGTCCCGAAGATAACCGAGAATGACCGTTTTATTTTTTCCAACCAACGACGGCAGTCCCAGATACTTCGACTGACCTCCCTCTCTAGGAATACCCAAAATCTGGCAACACATTTGTTTATCTGGTTCACTCACATTCAAACTGAACGACATAGAGGACTTAGAATAATTTACTACCTGACCTGACAGTTTCTCATATCCCTGTAAGATGTATCGAACCACACTGCATTCACTCCTCGTAGCTTTAAAAAATAAAAAGCTATCATCTGCAAATAAAAGGTGTGATATTTTTGGTGCCCCTACAAACCGCAACCCCATATAATTCCCCTTCACTTTCAGCTCTTCTTAGCAACACGCTTAAGCCCTCAGCCACAAGAATAAACAAGGTGATAGAGGGTCCCCTTGACGAAGCCCTCTTCCTATTTCAATCGGTCCAATGAACTCATTATCAAATTGAACAAAATAATTAACTGTAACGACGCAGGCCATAATTAAGTCAATCCATCTCCCACTGAACCCCGTGCTAACCATTATAAACTTTAGAAAATCCCAACTTACCCGGTCATAAGCTTTGCTCATATCCAGCTTAAGAGTCACAAAGCCTTCTTTACCATACTGTTTCATTTTCGGATAGTGCCGAGTCTCAAAAGCCAATATAATATTATCCACAATTGATCTCCCCGAAATAAAGGCACTTTGATTCTCTCCAATCAACTGGCCCTAAAAAAAATCATTCTATTAGCAAGCACTTTAGAGAAATTTTTATATACTACATTACAAAGTGCTAGCGGTCTCCACTCTCCCAAATTATATGGATTATCCTTTTTTGGAATTAAAACAATATTAGTAATATTTAATTCCTTAGGGACAAGGCCAGAGTAAAAAATACTTGAACATAACCGAGTCACGTCCGGCACTACCACATCCCAGAATTTCTGGAAAAACGTCCGGTTCATCCCATCTGAGTCAGGAGCCTTCTCAAGATGCATGTCAAAAATCTCCGATTTAACCTCCTCTGGACCGATGGGTCTCAGCAAACGCCCGTTCTGTTCATTTCAATAAAATTATACTATCCTTTATATATTCAAAATACATTAGTTTCTTCCATTTAGGAATGTTTTTCTGAAAACAAAATACATTAGTTTCTTCCATTTAGGAATAAGATATTGTTGTCGTTTTTAAGGATTTTTTTACAAATTAAAAAGAGGAAAATACCTAAAAAGGGATTAAAACGAAAGATGAAGTTCATAGAGTTGTCATTATTTCATTCCAAACATATACAGACATACAGTATCTTATTCACCACTGTTTCAGGAAGCTTAATCAACTTTCCTAATCTTGTTTTTGAATTTTGTATAAATTTTGATTTGATCAATTTCCAAAAAAAAAAAGTTACCCTCTTAAAATCAAATCTCCCGCTGAGTAATAAGTGTCCTGATAAATGTCTACTCGGTTGGAGTACGGACATATACAGGACATATACAGTCCTGATAAAGTTCGCCTTTCCCATTAACAATCACACTTTTCTTCTGATGAACTTCCCTATTAAGATTTCAGAGACGAAGGAGTTGGAAGTGAACGAAGGAGTTTCCCTCCATCATGGTTTTTTTCTTCAGAGGGAAGATTCCATAAGCCAGGAACAGTAGTACTTTTCCCTGCAGCGCATTCCGATCACTCCGACCCATCGGGAAACACATGGCTTTTCCTCATTCAGCCTGTGATTTCTCCGCTCATCACACTAAGAAAAGTGTGGGTGGTGAAGAGGTCAGATGGATAAAACACTACAGTAGTTCACACAAGATTCTCTTAGTGGGCGAAGGAGACTTTTCTTTCGCCGCCAGTCTAGCGGCTGCCTTTGGTTCTGCTTCCAACTTGACTGCCACTTCCCTGGAATATAAAAGTACGTTTCTTTTTGTTTTTTCCCTTTGATTACTGAACACTATTTGAGTTTTCTTCACTGATAGATGTTGTTGTTTACCTTTTAAAGAGGATTTGAAGAAAGCTTATAAAAAAGCTGTTGATAATATCCAAGAGTTGCGATCAAAGGGGTGCAATGTGTGGCATGGTGTTGATGCCACTGTTATGGCATCTCATCCCTGTTTGAAAAACTTGGTGTTTGATCGTATAGTTTTCAACTTTCCGTTTGTTGTCCTTCCCAAGGAAAAACGTGCCAATCTTCATCATCAGACGGTTCTCAAGTATTTGAATTCTCACTTATTTTAAATACAAACTTATATCATAGAATATTGATTATTTAGGATAGAACCTAATAGTGTTTGTCTGTTTTTTTTGTTCTTGCAGGAAACAACAATCCCTTGTGGTGAAGTTTCTTGAAAATGTCAAGAAGATGATTGGTGAAAATGGTGAAATCCATATAATCCATAGGACAGATGGGTTTTTTGGTGCGTGGAGAATAAAGTTTCTTGCATTGAAGCATGGGTTTGAACTTGTGGAGGCTTCTGATTTCCACATTCGTGATTATGCATTGTACAATGCCAAATGGGGAAATGGAAGTGATGATAACTTTGAGTCTGGCCCGAGTAAGACGTACAAGTTCCGGCTTCCTCGTCCACCCTTGAAGCCCGATTCTTTTTCGCGACCCACACTACCATCTCTCCAGGATATGTCAATGTCTCCAGCAACTAACTCCAATGCATGCCAGGAGTTACCATCTCTATCACTATTTCCTAATATGAAGCATGGCGATGTGGTTGAGAGTTTGGTAACAGAAGAGAAGATGATAAAAAAACACTACAGCAGTTCACACAAGATTCTCTTGGTGGGCGAAGGAGACTTCTCTTTCGCTGCCAGTCTAGCGGCTGCCTTTGGTTCTGCTTCTAACTTGACTGCCACTTCCCTGGAATATAAAAGTACGTCTTTTCATCTTCTTTTCCCTTTGATTACTGAATACTATTTGAGTTTTTTTCACTGATCGATGTTATTGTTTACCTTTTAAAGGGGATTTGAAGAAAGCTTTTAAGAAAGCTATTGATAATATACAAGAGTTGCAATCAAAGGGTTGCAATGTGTGGCATGGTGTTGATGCCACTGTCATGGCATCTCATCCCTGTTTGAAAAACATGGTGTTTGATCGTATAGTTTTCAACTTTCCGTTTGCTGTCCTTCCCAAGGAAAAACGTGGCAATCTTCATCATCAGACGGTTCTCAAGTATTTGAATTCTCACTTATTTTAAATACAAACTTATATCATAGAATATTGTTATTTAGGATAGAACCTAATAGTGTTTGTATGTTTTTTTTGTTCTTGCAGGAAACAACAATCCCTTGTGGTGAAGTTTCTTGAAAATGGAAAGAAGATGATTGGTAAAAATGGTGAAATCCATATCACCCATAGGACAGATGGATTTTTCGGTGCGTGGAGAATAAAGTTTCTTGCATCCAAGCATGGGTTTGAACTTGTGGAGGCTTCCGATTTCCACATTAGTGACTATGCATTGTACAATGCCAAATGGGGAAATGGAAGTGATGAAAACTTTGAGTCTTACCCTAGTAAGACATACAAGTTCCGGCTTCCTTCTCCTCCCTTGAAGCCAGATTCTTTTTCGCGACCCACACTACCATCTCTCCAGGATGTGTCAATATCTCCAGCAAGTAACTCCAATGCATGCCAGGAGTTATATCTGTCACTTTTTCCTAATGCGAAGCATGATGATGTGGTTGAGAGTTCGGTAGCAGAAGAGAAATTGATCAAAAAACACTACAGTAGTTCACAAAAGATTCTGTTAGTGGGGGAAGGAGACTTTTCTTTCGGTACAAGTTTAGTTGCAGCCTTTGGCTGCGCTTCTAACTTGACTGCCACATCCCTTGAACATAAAAGTAGGCTCTCTTGTTCTCACAGACTAGATTGTTGGACACCAAATGTTATTTTATGGGATTTTGAGATGTTTTTTCCCACATTATTATGGTTTCCTTTTGAAGGGGATTTGAAGAAAGTTTATGGAAAAGCTGTTGGTAATATCCAAGTGTTGCGATCAAATGGGTGCAAGGTGTGGCATGCTGTTGATGCCACTGTCATGGCATCTCATCCCTCTTTGAAGAACTTGGTGTTCGACCGCATAATATTCAACTTTCCATTCGCTGTCCTATCCAAACAAGAATGGAGTCTTCTTCACCTTGAGACAGTTCTCGAGTATTTGAATTTTTAATTATTCATTATGACAATCACTTTAAGCTAATTATTTGATTTCAGTTGGTAAAGTCAATCATATAAACCAACATACAAAGCCATAGGCTACCCCTATAAACTGTTGCAATTGTTTGTTTGTGTGGTGTAGGAAACAACGCTCCCTTGTAGAGAACTTTCTGGAGAATGCCAAGAGGATGATTGGTGAAAAGGGTGAAATCCACATTACTCACAGGAAAGATGGAATCTTTGGTGCATGGAGAATAAAGTTTCTTGCATCTAAGCTAGGGCTTCAACTTGTGGGAGCTATTGATTTCAACATTTGTGATTTTCCAGGTTACAATCCCAAATGGGGAAACGGAAGTGATGATAACTTGGAGAGTTTTCCCAGTAAAACTTACATGTTCCGACTTCCACATCCACCACTGAAGGCTAATTCATTTTCATCAAAGAGCACTAATCAGGATGTCCCAATAATTTCACCCACTAAGATTTATCCCGAGGAATTTTATGCCTTTTGTGAGAACTCGTCACATGCACACCAGGAGTTGCCATCACCTTCGGTTTCTTCTGGTATGAACATCTTGGCATGTGGGGCATCCTCAAGAAACACTTGTTCCAGTCATGATAATAATAATCCTATGGGGTTGAACAAAGGGTCTCAAGAGTTTTGTGTAGAAGAGTTAAAGTCAATTCTGATGCAGCAAAAGGGAAACACTTCTCCTCCTAAAAGCAGTTCTTTTGTTTCCCATGATTCAGCAGAAGAGAACTGGGTAAACAAATATAAAGTGTCTCAAGAGTTTTCTGTGGAAGAGTTAAAGTCAATTCTGATGCAGCAAAAGGGAAACACTTCTCCTCCTAAATGCAGTTCTTTTATTTCCCATGATTCAGCAGAAGAGAAGTGGGTAAACAAATATAGTAGTTCCCACAAGATACTGTTAGTAGGTGAAGGGGATTTCTCCTTCTCTGCCAGTTTGGCTGCCGCTTTTGGTTCGGGCGTGAACATCATTGCCACCTCCCTTGATTCTAAGAGTAAGAAATGTAAACTTGTTTTTACCGACTCTGATTATGTTTTTTTTTATGCTGGGTTATACAGTACTTTTGTTTTGCAGAAACAGTGAAGAGAGAGTATGATAAAGCAGCTCACAACATTAGCATGTTGAAGGCAAACGGATGCAAGGTGTTGCATTCTGTTGATGCTACTGCAATGGCATCTCATCCAAGCTTAAAGGGTTTAGCATTTGATCGTATAGTTTTCAATTTTCCATTTGCTGTTGTTCCTAAGGACCGGATCCACCATCAAATCCGGTTCGTTCATAATAATCATCATATGCAGTATCGTGTTCTTGTTTACTCTCATGGTCAGAGAGTCACTTGGTATGGATTGGATTTGTTAATATACTTTAAGTGTTTAGTTTGTTTGCCCGTGCAGTGAACACCGATCCCTTGTTGAAAAGTTTCTAGAGAACTCCAAGCAGATGATCACCAAAAGTGGTGAGGTCCATATTACTCACAGGACGGATGGATGCTTTGGAGCATGGAGAATAAAGTTTCTTGGAACTAACCAAGGACTTGAACTTGTGGAAGCTAAGAAATTCAATATTAGCGACTACCCAGGCTACAACCCAAGATGGGAAATTGGAAGTAGTGGCGATGTGATGTGCATGCATAGTAAAACATACATGTTCAGGCTTCCTCGTCGCCCCTTTAAGACTGTTTCTTGTTCGTCTTCTCCAACAGAACCATCACACATCTCTGTTGAGGATGTCTCCATATTGGAGCCTACCAACAATGATCTTGGTGCTGAGCTGTCTGTAGAGTTTAACTCTGGTTTCGCCAAGAATTGGGCCAATGCACATGGGAAATTAACTACTCCATCATTATTATTTCCCAAATCCAATGTCTTTTTTGGGGCTGAAAGCCATAATGTGGTACAGGAAGAAGTGTCTGCAAGTAGTTGTGCTAAATTCTTAGGCGCAAGTAGATGCGGTCGAACAGAAGCTACTTCTCCTTTTCCAAGCACTGGTTATCAGTTGAAGCAAGAGGACACGTGGCAAGATAATAGTTTTGTTGCAGAAGAGAAATGTGCAAAACATTGTAGCAGTTCGCACAGGATGGTGCTTGTGGGTGAAGGGGACTCTTCCTTCTCTGCGAGCTTAGCTGCAGGTTTTGGCTCTGCATCTAACAGGACATCCACTTGTATTGATTCCAAAAGTAAATTTTCGACTGCCTACATCTAGACGATTGATTGTTCAAGTATTTAGGCTCGACTTCCATCTTAATAGTTTTAGAATCCCAGAAGGTCACAATTCTAATAGGAATAATATTACAAAGGTCAAATACAAGGGTGGTGGTGGTTTGTAGTATTTTTTATACTTATTCAATGGGTTATATAATATGAAACCACTTAACATTGAGCCGGGGCTTTTAATTGTTATTTTGTTGCTTCTTCTTCAGGGGTGTTGAATGAACAATATGAGAGAGCTGTTTATCACATTGAGGAGTTGAAAAGAAGTGGATGCAAGGTGATGCACGGTGTTGATGCTACTGCTGCCTCAAATCCCAAGGAGACTGCTGCAGCTGCTTATAGTATGTTTGAAAATGATGAGCTGTATATTCCTCCAATGATGTTTCCTTATGAGGGGGAAGCTACGCCTAGTTCTGTTTATGCTGCACCAACTCTGCCTCATTTTCTTCTTCCGAGCAAATATTTGGGCATTGAGGAGAAATGGATAAAGCATTATAGTAGTCATCAAAAGATATTGCTGGTTGGTGAAGGAGACTTCTCATTCTCTGCCTGTTTAGCCGTGGCCTTCGGATCTGCTGCTAACATGACTGCCACTTCTCTTGACAGTAATGGTAAGGAATGAAAATAAAACGGTCTGTTTGTTTATTAATTTTGATAGACAAACTTATGGTGGTGACTCAGTCGGTCATTTTCTTGTTCTGTTTCAGATTTCTTGACCACAAACTACTGCAAAGCATTTTTGCACCTTAGGGAGTTGAAAGACAAAGGGTGCAAGGTGATGCATGGTATTGATGCAACCTGCATGATCTACAACCCCTGCTTGATGGGCTCCACCTTCGACCGCATCGTCTTCAACTTCCCGTATGCTGGTTTTTTCAAGGACATACCCCGGACGTCTCAGCTTTGGTCAGCCTTTTATCTTATGTTTATCAGCCTGCAGAATGAGTAGAGCATTTCACTTTACTTGGATTTAACTACTCAAAGCCTTTTTTTCAAACACCATTATTCTTTAAGAAACAAACACAAAAGTTCACTCTGCTTCGTCTCTTTGGAAATAAGTCATCCCAAATGTACTCTAACTCTGGATTTAGCCAAATAAGCATTTTTTTCCAGAAAAAATCAGGCACTTTGAATATATTTTAGCCAAGAAAACTGCTTGGCGTAAAGCTTTTTTGTACACTTTTCACACTTGTCTTGTGTATACAACAAAACTTCTTATTTTTTAAACGAGCTGCCTAGTAACACAAGCAAAATAGGGGGGCCATACACAAAAAGTGTACAAAAAGGTGTACAAACAGAATTTTTCCTTTAGCCAAACACCAAACGAGGCCTTAATGAATACTCAAATTCTACTACATGTATAATAGACAGATATGTTTTGTTTGTGTTATAATTAACCACCATTTTCGTGGGTTGTTTGGTTTGAGCAGCTGCCATCAATACCTGATAAGGTTGTTTCTGCACAACGCGAAGCAGATGCTCAGCGGGGCCGAGGGGGAGATCCACATAACGCACAAGACGAACGGGTTTCACAAAGAGTGGAATATAGTTTGTATTGCTGTGCAGGAGGGGCTTGAGCTGGTTGCCACCGTTGACTTTGATGCTGGCGACTATCCGGGTTACAGTAACAAGTATGGCTTTGGGGGTGACAACGCTTTCAACTGCTCTCCCAGTCAAACTTACATCTTCCGTCTTCCTCCTCCTCCTGCATTCATGCCCTGGCCTTGGCCCTAAGCTTTCCTTGTCACCCACCCTCTTTCTGCCTCCCTCCCTGCACTATTTATTCAAGGTGCATGTAATTTTAGTCAAAACTTACCTATGTTTTGTTGCAGCTGTATATGTTCTCTGAGAGTCTATCTCATCAAACTTATAATCTTCACGTAGTTTCTCCTGTGGAGAACTATAGATTGAAGTGTGTAATAATGTACATTTATGTATCAGTTAAGATATACTATGTATATATATATTTGTTAGGAATCTTATGTATTTTGGGCATTTTATTTTATTCTACTACAAATCTGATCAACTCTAATCAGTAGTCAGTACTTTCACTCTGTGCATGCTAAAACAAACTCTTCAAAACTGGATTAGGCTTACAACTAGTCAACTACTACTACAACTTTTCAATACTAAATTATTAAGCGCTTTTTCCTTGATTATTACTCCAAAAATGTATACTTAAAAGTATCATGTTAGATTTGCATAAGAGTTAGATTACATACATGTGAATAGAGATCATGATACTCAATTGCATGCTTTTGATACTCGATAGAGGAGGTTTCATGCTCAGTGAACATGTTTTGATGTTCAACTAATTAACAAAGATTATGATTTTTATATCATTGCTCATTTGGAAACTAATGTATGTTCATTTTGTATTGATGTTATATTTATTTTAAAATGTTATATCAATGCATATTTGAAAAGTGTTATATTACTGATGGATAGTGTACCCGGGGGTAGCTTATCCGAGGGGTTATTACGGGGAATAATAAGAGAGAAGTCAGAGCAAGTAAGTATAGAGAGAGAAAGTATATTTAGAAAGTATGCAGTGTTTTCAGCGTGTTATGACTTGTGACTTGGTTACAAATGGGGAAATGGGGTGCTATTTATAGTAGCAATAAATGCCAGACAGGGACACGTGTCAAGCGTCTATTGGCCGAGAGGTCATCTCAACGGGTTGGCGCTGACAACCGCATGTGGTTGCATTTAATGCGGTTGTTAGATGGGACGTTGTACAGGGTACAGTGATCTGTACGCATGTGGCGCGGATATCATGTCGGGAGAGGTGCCCTCGGCTGTAGAGGACTAGCCGAGGGCTCTGAGTACCGGGGACCCCTTTGGTGCCGAGGGCTCCAGGTGCCGAGGGCTATTGATTTTCGCCGTTTTTCCCAGTAACTTTGTTTTGCTGTCTCGGCCCTCCTGTGAGAGTTAGAGCCTTCGGCCAGGGGGGCGAAGGCACCCCTGGTGCGCATTTGTGGGTTGCTTGGTATCTTGGGCGCCGTGATTTGGGCCTGTTGTGTTTCCTGGGCCTATTGGGCCTTTATTGGAGTAGTAGGAGTCTGTGGGCTGGGGGTTCCGGGGCCATATACTCCATCAGGAGTCCCTCACTCCTTTTGTCGAAAGGTACTTGAGGTAAAAGGAGTAGTTGTGTTTGTCCTCTGCCGTTGTTCCGTTGTAGTTTTGTAGAGTTGTGGGTAGTTTGTTGTTTGTTTATTCTGCCGAGGGCAGTCCCTCAGTTACCCACATGTCGGGACTTGAGGGGTCATGTTTGTAATTTTTCCCGAGGGGGTCCTCCAGTCCCCCACTCCTTGAGGCACTTGCAAAGTGGTGAAAAGGAGTAGAGTAGTTGCATTGCTGTTTGGGGTCGAAGGCTGACGCTTTTCGTTTCATTTTGGGGGGATGCCTCGTTAAAAACCTCATTAGGAAAAACCCTGTGGGAAAAAAATCCTAATGAGGGAAAAAGAGTGCACCGAATTCCCCCAACGATGAATCGAAAATGTGAAACCTTGATTCGAAATGGAGAATAATGCTGATGTCGAAGGCTTTCCTTGTTCTGAGGGCTCATGTGTTGATTAGCCGGAGGCTTGTTGTAGGTGTCCTGGGAGGTGCCGAAGGGGAGTCCCTCAATCTGGGGATCGAGGGCGTAATGAATAAGGGTAGTAGTTGAATTGTTACCGGGGTGTCCCCTGTTTGTTGATTAGTTGGTGATGAGGATATCCGAGGGCTCCCATTACCTGTGTGCCGTAGGCTATCCGTCAATGAGGCATACTCCCCGGGGGCTACCCGGCCCTCAAAGTGCTGAGGGGGGATCCCCGAGGGGTGGCCTGATATGAAGCTTTGGGCTTCTGAAAGAGTGATCCCGAAGGCATCTGTTATGTAGTGTGTGGGGCACAAACCGGGAGTGTCTCTGGGTAAAATGTACTCGGGGGCTCTTCTTGATGAAGTGGAGTGAAGTAAAAAGCCCGGGGGCTCCCAGAATATAGCCGTTGGAAATATAGCCGTTGGAATATGTAACGTCAGGATATAGCCGTTGGGGGGGTTGCCACGTGGTGCGTGCTCGTTGGCTGCCCGTGGGCGGGCGTCACCGATTGGGTGAAACCACGGTTGGTAATGATGGCAGTCCAACCGGAGGCCCGGTTTCCAGGCCCAAGCCCGGATCCCAGCGCCTATAAATACCCCATGGCCGGACACCATTCTCCTTTGTGCGATTACTTGTTAGCGAAGCTCTGCCGGATTTTTTCTAGAGAGAGAAACACTGCCCTCGATCTAACTCCCGCTTTAAGGTCAGTTCCCCCCATCTGTTCTTCTCCCTCCTTAGCTAGCTGTAGCGGCCTTAGATCTAGGACTGTAACCTAGATCTAAGCCCTCGAACCAGTGGAAAGATGTCCTCTCAGAGTGATTCCCAGGACATATCGAGGGATCCATCGATGGAAGAGGAGAGCTTCTCGGACGCGGGGTCCTCAAGTGAGCAGCCCTCGGCCCAGGAGGATGTCGCGATGGCGGTGGAAGTGCAGAAGGAGTTGGTGGCCGAAGTCGAAGCCGAGGGCTTCGAGCAAGAGGCGGAGGATGAAGAGCTTGCCCTCGCCGTACAAGTTGCAGAGGAGGAGGAAGAAAAGGAGAGGATGAAGGTGACAGTGGCCGTCCTTCCCCCTCGGAGTGCTGGTGAGGCAGGGAGCTCTCGGCCCCTCAACCCGACGCCGATAAGAGTGGCCCCCGGGAAAAAATCGGAGAAGAAGAAAACCGCTCCTAAGAAGAAATGCGTTGTTGCCGATCAGGGAAAGCCCATAGATGTGCCCGAGGGGTACTCCTGGCTGAATACTGCTGCCTTGGAGATAGGGTCGAAGGCTGATAGGGAAGACATGTACGTGACTCAGCTGCACGTGGGGCCTTCGGCTGTGGTGGTGGCGCCGGGCCCTGATGATGTGCTTTCCTGGGCTCCCGAGGGTTGCATCGTTGTGCACATCCTGTCAGTGTCAATGGGGCTCCGGTTCCCCCTGCACCCATTCTTTCAGGAATATCTCCGGTATGTGGGCTTGGTCCCCTACCAGTTGACGCCTAACATCCACTCCTACGTGGCGGGCTTCCTGAACCTCTACCGATCCCGAGGGGTGACCCACAGCCTGGACTTGTTTTTTCAGAGCTTCAACCTCTGCCGAGGGGGTCACGCGAACGCCGAGGGATTCGCCAATCTGCAACAGGTGGCTCGGTGGAAACTATTCACAGAAGCGCCCTCGTCCAACAAAGGCTGGAAGGAGCGGTGGTGCTACGTTAGGATTGCCGAGAGCCCCTTTCCGATGGAACTTAGGGATCGCTTCCGTCGGCATCCGAAGGTCGGAAGTGCTGTTCTGGAGAAGGATGGCTTGATAATAGCCAAGATCCCGGAGGGTCGCACGAAGCAAGTGTCCATTAAGGACTTCACAGCTGACAAGGAGCTATTCGCCCTCGGCTTCCGCAGATATCGCTTCCTCGGCGAAACAGACGAGAAGTATCATGTGCTGGCAGGAGGTAGTCTCCGAGGGCTTCCTTTTTTTACTTAGGATTTTTCCCCCTATTCTTTTTTTTTTGCTCTTTTCTCCTTCGGTCTAACCCCTTTGTTTTTGTTGGCAGGTGTTAACATGGATGCTGGTAAACTCTTCGCTCTGAAGAAGAAGAAGGGCAAGACCCAAGACCAAAAGAAGGACCCTTCGGTCCAACCGCCTGTGGGAGCCTTCTTTCAAAGAGAGGCTCCGAAGCCCTCTGCTGCGGAGGGAGTCGTCGGTGTGGCGGAGGGGGCCACAAAAAAGAAAAAGGGGAGCAAGGCGGTTGAGCCCCCGACCAAGAAGCAGAGGGGGACAGGGGGCACTGTCGGCCAGGATGCCCCCTTGGTGATCATTGAGGATCGCCCCTCTCCGGACCCCCAGTTGATGCTGCGGCGACAGCCCAAACCAATCCTCCCTTGAGAAGCCCCCCTCGGGAGATCCTGCAGCTCTCTTTGGCCCCGGGGGCTTCTGTCCTACACGGCTCAGCGGAGCCGAAAGCTTTTCTGAGGGGGATGACCTCGGTAATGGACAAGGCTGCCCTCTCCACATATGATGACGAGGCCCTCGAGAACAGGATCCTTCGATCTTCATTAACTCTAAGTTTGCTCCCTTAGGTTTTGCGTTTAACTTTTAATGCTCTTTCCATGTTAATCTGACCCCTCCTCCCGTTGTTTATCAGGCATGCGTAGTCCTCGGGGAGCACGCACAGAGGCTTGAGCAATGGCGCCTCCGGAAGGCGGAGCAGGACCGGGAGATGAAGGAGCTCATCCTGAAGAACTCCGAGGCTGTAAAGCAGATGGCCATGCTGGAGGAAGATCTCCGGAAAGCTGCCGAGGGCAAAGCTGCAGCGGAGGAAGCCAGACTTGAGGCCGAGAGGGCAGCCAAGAAAGCCGTCGAGGCCGTCGCCAAAGCCCGGGAAGAAGCTGTTGCCGCCTTCGTGGCCGAGGGTTGGAAAACCGAAGACAGGCGGCAGTGGGTGGCCTCGGTCGTGGAGTCTTCGGTTGATGACTGGGTGAAGGGCCCCGGAGCCGACTGGATGGCAGAAAGGGGAGACAGCTATTACCAGGGGGCGAGTTCTTCACCCAGCATCTGGTGTACCGGAGGCTCGCCAGGCACTTCAAAGTCCCTCTCGAGGAATTCGACCCCTCGGCGTACGGCCTTCCTGCTTTGCAGCCAGATGTGAGAAACCCCGTCCCCCCGGGCGAAGAGAGGCCTGTGATCCATGACTCCATGATGATGGGGGGATCCGGCGATGGTGATACCGAGGACGCCATCGGGGAGGAGGTCACCTCGAAGCCCGCCGAGGAGGCAGCAGCTTGAAAAAAACACTTGTAGTTGAATAGCTTTTTGAACACTTTTCCTTCTTGTTTGTAATATTCGTGTACTCTCGGCCTCGGCCACATTGTAATATATACATTTGAATTTCCTCTCTTTGACGAATGAATGCTTGCCTTCAGGCTTTGTGTATATGACTTCTCCTCT